CTCCATCATCAACTACTGTTTTGTTGTTGTTGTTGCTGCTGTTAATTGTATGAATATGTCCATTTCTTATTGATTTCTATATTTCATTTTAGTGTGATTGGTTGGTTTTGTGTGTTTTTTTGGGTTAATTATTTACCATCACCAAATATGATAATCTTGTGATTGATTTTTTTGTTGTTATTATATTTTTTATTTTTATTAAATATATATATGCCTTTTTAACTACAGCTACGAACTACAGTTCATTTTATAGTATGTATATATGTATGTTTTATTATTATTTCTATTTTATTTCAATATATATTTCCATTTAGCTTTCCTTGTGTTTGATTTAAAACAAAAAGTTAAAAAAATACGATAAAATATAATATTTTTCCCTATAGAGAGTAGAGAAGGCAATGTTTTGAAACTTCCCCATATTAAGAGATCAATTAAAAAAAAAGATAGAAATATTACAAAAATGCTTCCATTTTTTCAAACATTGATATTTGTTGAGTCTTTTTTTCTATTATGAGCTACACAAAAACAATTTTATATAGTTTAAAACATTTCAATATGATCAGCATGTATCTGGTCTACAGAGTACTCTACAATTGTTGTATAGAAATCCTCCCCATATGTAGTGTTCTCTACCGAGAATATTGTTTTCCATAAAATTTGATGATTATTTTGTGACGTTTTAGTTTAAATCGACATGTAAATCATAATGGCGTAATCACTTCTAGTATATAAGTTTTGAGAATTGTGAGTAGTAAACTCCCTCTCCCAAATAAAAAATGGTATGGGATTTAACATTCAATCTTTTTTCATTCATTCCCATTTCCCAAAATTTTTATAATAGAAGTGTAGGACAGAATTTTTAAAAAATATCGTTATGAAATGTGCAATGGTTTCAGATGGAGCTTCTATGCAATTTAATCCTATAAAAGACAAACATATATGTCGATAATATGTTAAAATAGTTCACAATAGTTGTGAATTGTTGAAATTTATATTTGGAAAGTTTAACTACAATTATCTTTTTTGAATGGAGTCAAATATTTGAGTTTTATTAGGGGAAACAAAAAATAATAACATTTTGCTCCAAAAGATTCTATATAAAATAGGTTCACTATCAAAGCAAGAAATAACTTCCTAATATATTAAAATTTCCACATTCTCGAGAATAAAAGTCCCGTGGGAATTGCCTATTTTTTAACCACAAATCAAGTTAAAAAATAAGGAAGATCTTAACCAATTGGATTTATCCTAGTTCATATGATAGCTATACACTCACAGAGAAACGTCCCAAAATGTGGAATCGATCGGATTATTAGTCTTTGAGTTATCGTGCCCGCCATTCGCACAAACGCTGTTTGGGTAAAAACGCGTTTAAAGTTTGAGAAGCCCTCTTGCCGTCACTTGATGCTAACACAATAATTCTGCGATATCTTCAACAGTTGTTGAGACTTTCACATGAAATTTCATAGGGACATTCTTGAATTAGTTTAGATTCGAATTAAACCGAAATACAAAATTAAATTTTTGGAAACTATGTATGGGGGTAGGGTCCCCTTAACCCGAATAGTGCTGAAATTTTTTTTCGAATTGTGGGACGAAACTTTCAGCTTCTCTAGATTGTGAGTCACTGACTCCAAAAAATTAATTTGTATCCTTTTTTCTTATCAGGATAAATTTTTGGGCTGTGACACTATGTTCACACTGGCACTCCTCGGGTACAGGTTTTTTAGAAGATTTGTTGATCGTCTTATGTGGTCACGCTAGCACAGCTCGGCTTAATAAAAATAAATAAAAACGAGATGTGCTCAATATTTTCATTACGGTAAAGCTCACGCTCGTACAATGACTTGAAATTATATAAATTTCGCTACCAAAATTCGGAATCGGTGACCGAAGTGGGTGTTAACTTAAATTTATATTTGTAATCCTGGCAAATATTAGCCATAAATAAAATTATTAGGAATAAAATACATTTTTTTAAGGATGTCTAAAGGACTTGAAGTATGTTTTCAGCATAAGCTTTTTACCTAATGTCATTGGTTTTTTTCGTGTAGAACCATACTTGTTGCTGCAGGTTTCTGAACTGAAATTATAAAATTTTAAAACATCATCAAATCGGACAACAAGAAATGAGGTTATATACGATATATGCGCAAAAAGTGTAACCAAGAATCCACCATATGAAATTGCTTTAGAAAAAAAGAGAATGAATACAGTGTCACTATATTTGAATTGATTGCCTTTGGTATTTTTACTCAATGGACAGAGGTGACAGTTGTAATGCTGATCGATATTTGTCGGTTGGCTTTTGTGCACGTTGGCCCAGAGGTGACAGATGTTGTCCAATAAGCGGAGTTACACTTTCTTATAATTGGCGTTGGTTCTACTTGCCAAAGAATACAAGTTTTAAAAGTGTCTGGTACCGAAATAAGTGTCAAAATAAAACGGCACATTAGAACTTTTTACCGGTTTAACCTACTTTAAGAGGATTTATTTGACTTATATGCAAAGGAATTGACAATCGAACCCACTGGGTTAAATGTAAACGTACTATAATGCATTATAATTGTATAATAGGGTAGACTAAAAATTTTCTTCTAAAGTCAAAATATTAACAATCAGAAAATAAGGTTAACATTTTATCCGAATGGCAAAAATTTAAATCCCCAAAATATATTGTGCAGCATGTTGATTTCTTGAGCACTATTTGAGGTTAAAAGTAAAGTAGTGAATTTTATTTCATACAAAATAATGCAAAAGCTGTTACCAGCCTAATAATTACATTACAAGTGCTATGCTTTTAGGTTACCAAATTTGTCTAGATAGAATAGAAAAATTATTCCTTAATATTTTATTTCGTTTTTTTTTTTTTTTTTGGAGTTGAGGAAAACATTAGTATAAAATAATCTATGCTTAGGTTTCCCACGGAAGGCTATACCTTACAGTGATCATTTTATATTTATATAAATTCGGAATAATCCAAATTAGCTGCATTAAAAATATTTTCAGCGGTAGTCTGATCACGTTGCTAATTACTGCCTATTTTCTTAGCTAATATTTGTAAATATATGTCCATAGGTCACATTTGAACAGACAGTCATCATCAAAAATCATCAAATGAAGAAGTAAAGTGTACAATTTAAAATAAATTATATATTTTTATTTAAAAAAAATCTGAAATATAAAAAAAGGACACTGGTTGTTAAAAAGAAAAAAAAAACATTCAAGAAGATATTTTGAATTCAAACCTTTTAAAACGGCTTTCCTTTTCTAAAAGTAACCTTTGAAGAAGGAAAACAAAGCTATACTTATTATGAAGCATTTGAAAACTATTTGAAGATTCTTGCAACAATTTTGAGTAGAAATTGGGAAAATACTTGAACAAAAAAAAAATATTGTTATTACGATTCTTATTAAATATTTGTGTATTTATCTTTGTTGTTGTTATTTTAGTTTTTCATTTGTATTTATACTTTTTGTTTTGACAATACATATGTACGTAGAGATGTTGAATATTTCCTGTAGTTAGTTTTGAAGGGGCGGGGTTTGGGGGATTCACTGTTGTGGTACAGGATGATAAAAACGGCTGGCCATCATCATAATCACTTCTTGAAATGTTGAAAAAACTCTGAACCTTAAGGTTGATGAAAGATGCAGCTCGTCAACGAAAACGACAATAAAACCAATACATATATCTCAATTTTCTTCTTTTCTTCGCTGGGTGCTCCAATCGGCAATTGTTGTCATCCTGATCCTGATCGATCATCATTACATTTTGTTAACATTTTAACCCCCATCACCCACATCATCTTTGCTGTTGTTGTTGTTTTTTCTTTTTTTTTTTGATACAATACAAAAATCTAGCCATTTAAGTACTCCATTTGATTGGATGAAATGAGGGAGGAAAGCAAGCATTTCACTTGGTCTCAACAAATAATTAAAGAAACTCCAAATATATATTTTTTGTGGAACAACAAAACATTGCCTTCTGCCACTTCAAAAAAATTGGGGGGAAAACCAAACTAAAACCAAACACATATTTTAAAATTCACACAAACATTTTTTTGTTTCTTTCTAAATTTCTAAAATGTGTGCGGAGAAGACTCTCCTCCTTTTCTATTTGCAAATGGGAGAGTAAACAATTTTGAATTAGAGTAAGATATAAAAAAAGAGAAAAGGATAACCTCCAGGGCTCCTTTCTATTTTCTCGCTCCATTTTTGATTTGGGAAACAAAAGCTTGGGTCTTGAGAGCGCGAGCGCCTTGATCACAAAAACAAAAGTCTGTTAAAATGGTGTTCCAAACTTAAATATACTTGAAGAAGTGTGGGTTGGGGTGGTGGAGGTGCCTATTAATTCTAATGTGCTGGTGTTATTCTTTTTTTGTTTTATTTTGTTTCTTTTTCTCTGAGTGTAGATTTTGTGTGTGTATGTGTGTTTTTTTTAACGTTTTGTTGTTGCTGTATTATTACTTTGCTCTTGTTGTTGTTATTAAATATATATATTTATATATCTACTATATGTAATGTTTTGCTGTGCTGCCTGGCTGTCATCGTAGTCGGTCGTCGTGGTCGTCGCCTAACAGTCCTTTAAACTTTCCCGCCCGCCCCTCATGGCTTTCGTACTACCTGTGCGTCACAGTAATGTGCGCCTAACTCCCTGGGTCTTGAACAGAGAAGAAGTTCTGCATAGCTTGCATGCATGCTTTTGCTTCCTTCTACGTTCGTTTCTTTTTCAAATATGGATGGGGAGTGGGGGGCCTGAAAAGTTCAAATTACTGTTGGGCGTTGTTGTTGTTTTAGTTGACGCTGCAATTGTTGTTGCTGTTGTTGTAATGCAATGCGTTGGCGCTTTTTTCGAGCTCTTTTGCAGATTTTTTAGTAGTTGGTAGCGGCGAGCGACATTGATGGCGGCTTCTTTCGTTTCGTTTTTCGTAGATTCCTGGATTTTTGTTTTCTGTGTGTGTATATGTGTAGGTGTGTTGCTGTGTGCTTCGCTTTCTGCGCTTAGTAACCCTTAAGACGATCCTCCAGAGGCGGCTTAGGTATTTTGGGTTGTTTGGCACGCGCTACACGCATACGCTCAGCTGCTTTGGCCAAACGCTTTTTTCTCTCCTCGGGCGTTTCACTGGCCCGTCGTAATCGTTGACGAGCAGCATTTTTCATCAGTCTTAAGGTTCTTTGTACTTCATTTTCATTCTGACGTCGTATACGATTCGCCTCGGCATTCTTGGCCAGACGCAAGCGGTACTCGGCCTCCGATTCCTTGGCGCGTTTCTCGCGCATCCTGGCGGCGTTGCGCTCCAGTCTTCGTTGGCGGGCCTCCGGTGATTCGTTACTGCGGCGACGGGCGGCTTTTTGGGCGCGTGTTGACTGTGTTGTGGGTGTGCTGAGGGTATGATGCAGCGGGTGTGCTGTGTTTGCGGGGTTGTTGCTGTTGGTGTTGTGGGCGTTAGTCTGTTGTTGCAACTGCTGTTGCTGGACCTGGGCCTGATGCTGGAAGGTGTTCTCTAGATTAAGGGCTACAGCTGCTACGACAGTGGGATTGGCAGCGGCGGCAGCAGCGGAGGTGGAATTGTTATTGGTGTTGGTGGCGGAGGCAGATGTTGTATTACTGTTGGCGTTATTGGCGTTGGTGCTGTTGTTCGCTGAGGAGGCGGCTGCCACTGCATTTGCTGCTGCTGCCGCTGCTGTGACCGTATAATTGTTGTAGTCTATAAGCCCCCTATTACTTGGGTACAGATGATGCATGGGATTATCATAATTGAGGTATTCGGGTTTGATTAAGAAGGGGTCGCGTGCGGACAGTGGTGCCGTGGGTGAGTTGAGGAAATACAGGCGGCTATGATGATCTGTCGTTATGCTCCCTCCACCTCCCACTCCTGTGGACATCTGTAGTGGTGGTTTGGCGATGTTGTATCAATCGCTGCCGTTTCTGTGTTTTTTATTATTTGTATTTTTCCTTCTTTTTTTTGGGATTTTCTTGCTTCAGTTCGTCGTCTTCTTCGTCTTTTTGCTTGCTTGGATGGTTGGTTGCTTGTTAGCTAGATATTTTTCTTTTTTTTCGTTTCGTTTCTTGCTCACTACAATCAATCACTCACTCACTTCACACTTTGGATTCGCGCTCGCATAAAAAGCACATTATTCTTCTTCTCACATTTAATGCAATTTCTCAAAGCACTTGTTTTCGTTTGTTTTCTAGTTTACAAAAGTAATTTCTCCCAAAAGATTTTACACAAAATTTAACAAAAAAAACTTTGAGTAAACAATAAAAGCGACATAACTAATCAATATGGAAAAAATATTTCCAAAATCTGATTGGAAGGCAAGAAAAAAGTGCGCAAACGTCATTTCCAATGAAAATCGCCAGCGACCGTCGCAGGGTTGTATTGCCAACGGTCGAATGGGAATAATGAACTTTTTAGTATTTTTTGAAAAAAATCAAAGGGAATTAAAATAATAATATAATAAATGTTATTTAATTATTAAAAAATAATATGAAATTATATTTCTAACATTTTTTCTATTAAAATCTTTGTCAGCAGTTGTATGTTTCTACTACTATGGAATGCAACACTGTGAGTGTATATGCGTATGTGTGCGCGCAACTCTCACATGTAATTCCAATTGTTTTGTTTACCCCACCAATCCAATGGCCAATGTCAAAGCATGAATTGTCAGTTGTTTTTGTATTTCATTTGCTTGATTCTTATTGGAACTTACCGTTTTGATGGTTCGTCTGATAAAAGCAATTGGATTCCTTGGTTAAATGTCACTGTGTCACTTTATTTTAGTGGAAATATCGTATTTTCTAGTTTGTATGTTTTGTTGTTCGATGTGGGGTATGTTCAGTCTTTGAAATGTCAAAAGAAATTTTGATTATTTATAAGGGAGTGTTGCCATATTTGTTGGACATGTTTAATGGAATGGCCAACAGAGTTGTAATACAAAATGCATGGAGTAGAATGATAGGTTTCCGTAATTTGAAAATAGTAAAAAGAATTTAACGTTTTACGAGTCGGAAAAGATTAATATTAATATAATAACATTAAAAAATAATAAAAGCGCATTTACATACGCATTTTATATGATGTGGATTTACGAAATCCTGAAAATAAATTAAGGTTATTTACACTGGCTTTGAGATCATTTCAAATGACTGTCAGCTGGTATTTGTTTACATATACACACACACTTGTTTCCAAAAAGAAAAAAAATGTTACCACGAATTTTATAATAAAAAGATTTTAACTCAATTTTTTATTGGAATTAGATATTTATAATATCTTTATTTCCTCGAAATGTACGCGCAACACGTGTTCAGTGGTAATAATTACAAAATGTTTACTATCTTGAAGTTCCCAGCCTCTATAATCTATAAATATAATTTGTAACATCTACAGTTATATTTTAAGGGGACCCCCCATTTTTTGGGTCAAAAGTTTTTTTGATTTAATTCGATTCTACACTAATTCAAGAATGTCTCTACAAAACTTCAATTGAAAATCTCAAGAACTCTTGAAGATATAGCCGATTTATAGTGTCAGCATCAAGTGACGGCTAAAGGGCTTCTCAAACTTTAAACGCGTTTTTCTCTTTTGCGAATGGCGGGAACTATAACTCAAAAACTAATAACCCAATCGATTCCAAATTTTTACACGTTTCTCTGTGAGTGTATAGCTATCGTATGAACTAGGATAAAGCCAATCGGTGAAGATCTTCCTTATTTTTTAACTTGGTCTTTGGTCAAAAATCGGCGATTTTCCAAAAATATTTTTTTAAAGGTCCGCCATTTTGTTAATTTTAGAGCGAAGTCAATAATCCTAGTTCATACGAGAGCCAGACATGTACTCTTTCTAACACCGTTGGAATTTCCGTATTCCGATGTTCCAGTGAGGAGTTATCATGCCCGCCATGAAAAATAAGGACTTTTCTTTAATTACAAAAAACAACAACAAAACAATAACACATTTTTTTGTAAATTATTTTTCTTCTCTTTTAAATCTTCAAATATATATGTACAAAGTTACAAACTTTAACAAGCATTGGTATTGATTTACCAGCCCATTGAAAATCCTTAAAAATTAAAATCGAGAATGTGTAGGGTTCCCTTAAGAGAATATTAGTAAAAAATGGAGATATTTATTTACAAAAGGAATAGATTTTTATTTATTTATTTTTTTTTTTAAATATGACATTCGACATGTATACAATTTAATGGAATTTATTTTTCAAACAATTTGAAATTGATAGATGAGGTCTTTAGATAAATTCTAATATGAGCAATTCAATATTCAATGTCAAGGCCTATTAATAATGTCATCCAGAAAGTGAAAACAGTTGTTATTTCTCAATTCAAATCAATGTGTATTTAATAAGGTGTATGCATCAGCTACAACAATGAACATTTTACAAAAACAACATTGTTGTTAAATTTAAATTGAAATTAAATTGTCATACTGACAATTAGTTTATGTTGTGAAGAAACAAAAACAAATAATTTTGACAAAAGTTGTACAATTAAAGAAAAATTATATCGAAAATAGAAAATAAGTGCCCTTAAAAATTTTCATCCTGATCGGAAACGCCATTAATTTTATATTGCCGCCGATTTCCTGATAAAAACCATACATATTTTTCAAGAAAGTCCGTAGTACCCGAAAATCGGCTTCCAAAGCTGCCCTTCCAAATATAAAATTGAGGTGATTGTCCGGATTTTGGGGACAACTTCACTTGGAACATACCCATATATATATAAAATTGAGGTGGTTGGCCGGATCTCGGAAACAACTTCACCATCGACAGGTTTTAATGCAAGATATGCAACTGAATTTCTTATACAATCAAAATTACTTCTACATATTGCTTTCTACAGCTGAAGAAATAGAAGTGGGTGGCAAACATTTGCTGCAATTTAAGATTTTCGCCTACGCAACAAATATCTTTTTCTACAGAAATTTTGCCGGTGGTTAGCCTTGAGCTAATTCTTGGCAACATTAAATTCCCACAAATTTCCAAATTCATGCTATAGCTCATGAATAAAATATATATCCTGTTGTTAGTGTTTGATAGGATCCGCGACAGGGCTTTAAATTTGGTTTTTTGGGAAGCTAAGAAATGATCCCTTCCCATTAATAAAATCTTTGTTCCAAAAACTATTCATCTTCGCATTTGTTTATAAAGTTTTAAAATTAAAAAAAAAAAATATTTCAAAAATGTGTTTGACAATTAGATTCACAAACAAAAAAGAAAAAACTTTGAAACCATATGATATGAGGAACTTACACCTTATTTATAGACCTCGGATTTTTGCATATTTTTTATGCTTTATCCGATTGGACTCAAATTTTCTATTTAGGCGTTTCATGCTTTAATTGATCAATATAAAAATATGCAAAAAATATGCAAAAAATATGCAAAATATATGCAAAATATGCAAAAAATATACAAAATATGCAAAAAATATGCAAAATATGCAAAAAATGCTAGGTCGATATGCGATAAATATATGCAAAAAATATACAAAATATGCAAAAATATGCAAAATATGCAAAATATGCAAGAATATGCAAAATATGCAAAAATATGCAAAATATATGCAAAATATGCAAACATATGCAAAATATGCAAAAATTTGCAAAATATGCAAACATATGCAAAATATGCAAAAATATGCAAATTATGCAAAAAATATGCACGGTATGCTAGGTCGCAATATTAAAGATAGAATTTTGAAATTTTGTACATATATTATTATTACTCCTAGGATGTTTGGTATTGGAAATGGGATATATCGGTCCACGTTTTAGTATATCGCCATATAACGGTTATATATGTTTGCATGTTTTATACATATATTTAGCAAATTTTTCATAATGCCCCAAAAATCTAACAGTTGAACCATGAAACGCATACATACACAATTAGATTTCTATAGGTTAAAAATAAAGAAAGCACACAAATTCGAAAACTACCATGAATTTTTTTTTTGTTGATTAAAATGATTGCATATGTGAAATATGTTGCTCATATTTGCACATATTTTGCATATTTTTGCCTATATTTTTCATATTTCTCGCATATCGACCTAGCATACCGTGCATATTTTTTTTGCATATTTTGCATACATTTTGCACATTTTTGCATATTTTGCATATTTATTGCATATCGACCTAGCATGCCGTGCATATTTTTTGCATATTCTTGCATATATTTTGCATATTTATCGCATATCGACCTAGCATACCGTGCACATTTTTTGAATATTTTGCATATTTTTGCATATATTTTGCATATTTATTGCATATCGACCTACCATATTTTGCATATTTTTTGCATATCTCGTGCATATGCAAAATATGCAAATATGCAAAAAATTAAAAAATATGAACCCTTCAAATAATTCTAAATCCTTGAAACGAATTTGCGTCCAATCAGAATTTCGATATCTTCATTATTAAAAAATATGCAAATATGCAAAATCCTACTTATTTAATACACCTTGATTCAAATCTTACCATTTTGGTCGTTTTCATATTGTGAATTCAATTCACAATAATGATTTTTTGACATCAAAACAGTTTTTCCTGGAGGACTTTATTTATAGGCCTTGGTCCTAGTCAAGGTGTATTTAATAATGTGTATGAATCAGCTACAACAATAAAATTTTACAAAAACAACATTATTGTTATAGCAATTAAATTGTCATGCTGACAATTAGTTATTTACATGAAGAAACAAAAACAAATTAATAATAATAACAAATGTCGAAGAATTAAATAGAACTATTTTTCGAAAGAACGAGAATAAATTTGCTGTCGCTGACATCTTTGAACTTTTTCTCACAAATAACCTATGGGATTCTGAGATATTAACCATACAAGTTCTGTAGGTGCGAAATTTGCTCGTACAAATGAATATTCCGGTCCGGTCGCGGATCATTTCGAAAATGTTATCACAAGTAGTCCTTGTGTTCCTGAGATATTTGAGTTAAGAGCA